AAACACTCATATACTATGATCAAGTGGGATTTATCCCAAGTGCAAGTGTACTTGAACATATACAAATCAATAAATGTGATAAATCTCATCAACATCCCTTCATGATAAAAGCTCTCAAGAAATTAGGTATACAAAGAACATACCTCAACACAATAAATGCCATATATGACAAACACACACCAACATGATACTCAACAGGGAAAAAGCTGAAAGTCTTTCCTCTAAGAACTGGAATACAACAAGGATGACCACTCTCACCACTCTTATTCAACACAGTACTGGAAGTCTAGCCCAAGCAATTAGGGAAGAGAAAGAAATAAACGGCATCCAAATTGGAAAGGAGGAAGTCAAACTGTTTCTGCTTCAGATGACATATCTTATACATAGAAAACCCTAAAAGCTCCACCAAAAAACTCTCAGAACTCATAAAGGAATTTAGTAAAGTTGCAGGGTACAAAATCAACATAGAAAAATAAGTAGCATTTCTACACACCAATAATGAACTAGTAGAAAAAGAAATCAAGAAAGCAATCCCATTTATAATAGCTACAAAAAATAAAATAAAATGCTTAGGAATAAATTTAACCAAAGAGGTGAAAAATCTCTACAAGAAAAACTATAAAACACTAATGAAAGAACTTGTAGAAGACCCAAATAAATGAAATGATATCCCATGTGCCTGGATTGGAAGAATTAATATTATCAAAATGACTATACTACCCAAAGCAATCTATAGACTTAATGCAATCCCTATCAAAATACCAATGACTTTCTTCACAGAAATAGAAAAAGCAATCTACATTCCCACCAACAATGTATGAGTTCCCATTTCTCCATATCCTTGCTACTAAATGCTTAAAATTTAGTGAATTTTATATATGTTAAGTAAGTTTTTTTTTTTTAATATTCTTATTTCATGACCCTGTTTCCCTCTCTACCACTTATATATCCTTGGGCAGCACTGATCAAACAAAGGATATACATGTGGATTTTCCAATTATTAATCTGAATTTTAAGTCCCATAATAATGAATTTGGGCAAACTAAGTATTCTGGGTAACCTAAATTGACTTCAAATAAAACTTATAAAATACTTATGAAATACATGAATTCTTCTCTAAAACCAAATCCAATCTAATTACAATTATTCTTACACACATACAAAATTATTGTTAGCATAAATTTTAAGAACGGCTTTTGCAGTTTTAAGATTTAGGTTGGTTACCCATCTTTATGTCCATCTGCATTTTTCTCATAGGCTTAAGTACAAGTTGAGGGCTGGCCAGTTAACTCACTGGGTAGATCACGGTGCTGATAACACCAACTAGCCACCAAAAGAAATTAATTACAAGTTGAGTACTTTCCTGATGAAATAATCACGAAAAGATCACTCCATTCAAAAACTGGAATTAAAAACAACAGCATTCCCCCCCCCCCAAATAATAGGCATACATTTTAAATAACATGTACAAGATCTGTATACTAAATTATAAATAACTGATGAAAGAAATAGAAGAAGACTTAAATAAATGGAGAGACATACTATGTCCATGAGTTGGAAGACTCAACATAATAAAGATGTCAGTTCTCCCCAAATTAATTATAGGTACACTGCAATTCCTATTAAAATACCAGCAAAGTCTTTCCTGTAAACATAGACAAGTTTATTCTAAAATTTATATGGAAAGGCACGGGCCCTAAAATACTGCATCTAAAACAGTCTTGAAAGAGAAGAATAAAAGTGGGGAAGAATCACTTCACCCAATATTAGGTCTTGCTATTGTTAAATTAAATAAGCAGAAGGGGCCGGCCCGGTGGCGCACTGTATAGTGCGCCGCTTGGGAAGCGCAGCGGCGCTCCCGCCCGAGGGTTCGGATCCCACATACAGACCGGTTCCCACTCACTGGCTGAGCGAGGCGCGGGAGCAACGCCGAGGGTTGCAATCCCGTTGCCGGTCCCCGGTCCAGTACGGGGGCAACACTGAGGGTTGCGATCCGTTGCCGGACACGGAAAAAGACAAAAATAAATAAATAAATAAATAAATAAATAAGCAGAAGGCCATTGGCCTGAAGTGTATCCATACTTTGGGTTCGTACTTAACAAACTACAACCTAACTTAGTATATAAACAAACTGATACCTAACTTAACAAACAGCCCAAACTCAGTTAGTCATAAGTAGCTGAGCTTCAGCCAATCACAGGAAGCCAACTAATCAGATGATGTCCAAATAAGACAAAGGCAGAGCTGCAACCAATCAAGCTGCTTCTGTACCTAACTTCCATTTTCTACCTATACTCACTGCCCACAGGGTGGATCCCAGTTTTCTGAACCTTTTCTGGTTCTGAGTATCGCCCAATCCGTGAATTGTTCTTTACTCAAAAAACTCTACTAAATTTAAATTGTCAAAAGTTTTTCTTTTAACACTGTCTAGCTACAGTAATCAGGAGTGTGTGGAAATGGCAAAGGTACCGACACACAGATCAGTGAAACAGAACAGAAAGCCCGGAAAGAGACCTGCACAAGCGCAGCCAACTGATTTTTGAAAAAGTTGCAAAAGCAATTCAGTGAAGGAAAGAAAGCCTTTTCAAATTATGGTGCTGGAGTAATGGGATACACAAAGGCAAAACAAATTAACCTAGACCTAAATCTCACACATTATACAAAAATTTACTGAAAATTCATCATGGATTTAAGTGTGAAACATAAAACCAGGGCTGGCTGGTTAGCTCATTTGGTCAGAGCCCCGTGTTTTAGCGCCAAGGTCAAAGGTTCAGATCCCAGTACTGGCCAGCCACTAAAAAAAAAAAAAACATAAAACTTTTAGAACATAGGAGAAAAGCTTTAGAACACAGGCCTTGGTGAACAGTTCTCAGACATGACACCAAAAGCACAGTCCATAGACTAAATAAAAAGAAAATCGATAAACTGGACTTCATCAAAACTGAAGACTTTTGTTCTGTAAAAGACCCTGTGAAGAAGATTAAAAGATAATCTGCAGACTGGGAGAAAATATTTGCAAACCATATACCTGATGAAGAGTCTGAAATATATAAAGAACACCCAAAACACAACAGCGCAAAAGCAAACAACCTAGTTAGAACACGGACAAATGACATGAACAGAAATTTCACTGAAAAGGATTTACAGATGGCAAATGACCACATGAAAAGATGTTCAGCATCAACAGCCATTAGGGAAATGCAAATTAAAACCACAATGTGACAACACTACACAACTATCAGAATGACCAAAATTAAAAATAGTGACAATACCAAATGCTGGCAAGGTTGCAAGGAATGTGAAATTGTACAGTCACTGTGGAAAGCAATTTGGTGGTTTCTTATAAAACTAAACATACAATTACCATACAACCCAGCAACTGCACTCCTGGGAATTTATCCCAGGGAAATGAAAATTTATGTTCACACCAAAATCCCTAGAAAAATGTTCACAGCAGCTTTATGTGCAACAGCCAAAAAACGGAAATAACTCAAATGCCCATCAACTGATGAATGGATAAATAAAATGTGTCATATACATACTACAGAACACTCAGCAATTAAAAGGAACAAACTAGGTAATATATGCAAAAATTTGAATAAATCTCCAGAAAATTATGCTCTGAGTAAAAAAAGTCAATTACAGAAGGTTATATAACATTTAAGTCCATGTATATATATATATAATATTTCAGAAAAATCAAAATTTAACAAATGAATAACAAAGTAGTGGCTGCCAAGAGTCATGGATAAGAGGCCAGAATGGGGTAAGAAGGAAATGGGTGTGGCTATAAAAGGGCAACAGGAGGGATCCTGGTGGTGATAGAACTGTTTGGTGTCTTGACTGTGGTGGTGGACACAGGAACCGACATATGTGATAAAGTATACAGAATTGAACACACACACACAGAAATGAATACTAGTAAAACTGAAGAAATCTGAAGAGACTGGTAGATTGTATCAATGTCAATTCCTGTTTGTAATACTGTACTATAGTTTTACAAGATGTTATCATTGGGGAAACTGGGTAAAGGGTACATGGGATCTCTTTTGTATTATTTCCTTACAACTGCATGTGAATCTACAATTATCTCAGTAAAATTTTAAAATAAAAATAATCTATAAAATAAATCTATAAAATAAAAATTATTATTAAATAAGAATTTTTCCACTAAAAATAAAAGATTATGTAATGCAGATGCACATTCTACTGGAAGAATCCCTATAACAAAAGCAAGGGCAGTTTTAAGAATACATTAAAGGTTTTTTAGATATATCTGTAGATGATTGAGTATTGTAACAAGGGTTATGACAATGTTAGAAATTTTAGTTTTATTTTCATAGTGGATATCATCATAGTAACTAAGCATTTTGATAAACTACAAAAAATGCAAATAATAAGCAATGGGTTATATTTCTGTTCTAGACCACTCCAGAAACAAATCCATGTAAAACAAAAATGCAGGTCTTAAAACAAGTCAAGTGAGGGCATAAAGAAATTGGCTGTCTCTCTCCAAATCGCTTTTTAGTACTGGTATAAATCCCCTTCAATGGCACATAATCTATAACATTCCCCAACAAATCCAAAGCACTTTATGCTTTGTAAAGAAGCCATAATGGATGACTACAAAATTTACTTTTAAGAATGTTTCAGTATTCCTCTCAAATCAAATGGAGGGTTTCCCAAATCACTTAAAAGACTTTAAGACTAGCTCAGCTGACATCTCTTGATTCTTATAGAGGACAAGCAGAATAAGTGAGCTACATAAACTGAGTTAGGATTATATATCCATTGTGTACACTTTATCTTCCAACTGTTAACACGATTCTTTGATGTCGGTCACCAAATATTAATTCAGAACTCTGATTCTTACATACACAAATCAGACTATTTTCTCTTTTAGCTATAAAATTATTAAATGTCTTCATACAAAAAAAGTTCCAATATAGTCTCTCAAAATAATATCTTCTTAGAGCAAGTACAAATTAAACTTAACTTACCACTTTTTTAAAATCATCTTCTGCTTCGTCAAGTTTTCCTTGTTTGAGTAATAAGTGACCTCTCTGTAATCTTGCCTACGGGAAAAAAAAAGGAAGGGTGTTCTGAGTACTATGCATTTCTAAATTTTCTTTAAACACAAAGAATAAAACTAAATAAGCTAATGAAGTTTTTAATAAATATTTTTCCAGTGCTCATTTGACTTGGCACTGAGAATAATTCCTAGAACTAATCAATGTGTATAATTTCTGTTAAAGTATGCTTCCTTAAAAATACTTTTTGCTCTACCCCCAAAAACTGAAAACATGTCACACAAAAACCTGTACAGTGTGTTCATACCAATAGCCAGAAAGTGGAAACAACCCAAATTCCCATCAACTAATAACTCAATAAACAAATATGATATATCCATACAACAAAATGTTAATCAGCCATAAAAGGAGATGACATGTTGATACATGCTACCACATGAATAAATCTTGAAAACATTATGCTCAGTGAAAGAAGTCAGACACGAAAGGCCACATATTGTATGAATTCATCTATGTGAAATACACAAAATGGGCAAATCCATGATAAGTGATTGCCAAGGGAGAGGCTGAAAATGGGGAATGACTGCTAATAGGTGTAGGGTTTTTTTCGTAGGTGATAAAAATGTCTTGGAAACTAAATAGTGGTGATGATTGCACAACCTTGTAAATATGTTAAAAAACCGTGAACTTTTTAAAAAATACTTTCTGCCATCATAATAATTCTTTGCCACTACAATACACAGGTATTTCAAAAAGTGTGTGAAAAACAGAATTAAAAGATAATATAAATTCATGAACTTTCTGAAGAAGCCTCATACTTCTTCAAGTTGTATAATTTGAAACTTTACCAATCAAAGCTCTAGTTTGTTTTTTATTAACTCTCAACACAAATATTTACTCTACTAAAACTAGAATAACAATTCCTCTTCCCTTTTAACATGCATCAGTTTCTCCCCTTTCATCTTGGACATTCCTCTTCTAATGTGCATAATCCCGTGTCTTCCAAGAATACTAACTCTCTCATGACCAATGTCTATCAGAAAACAGAAACCATATCGACATTCCACTTAAACTTATATATTACTTTTACTATACATAAAATTTCCCTAATCCTCTCTTAAAAATATCAGAACACATAAAAAGCTAGATTAAAGCCATTTTAACTAGATAAAAGCTATCATAACACTTGGAAAATGGGCTACTTAACCTTTATAAAAGGTTGTATTTAACTGTGTTAAGTAACAGACTAAATAAAAAATTGGCACTTGGGAAGGTCATCTTAACATAATAGTAATATTTCAAATCAAACATTCACTCCTGTATCTAATTAGTTATCACAAATCCTTTTTGGAATATGACAGGATATAAATAATACATGGTTACAAGTTAATTGTGAAATCATCTAACTCATCAATGGTTCTATTAGTTCTGCCTCTGAAAGCTCCCCCTCTGCCCCACTCCATAAGTCCCCTGTGCACACCTGTCACAGCCCTTACAGTGACATATCATCAGAATATTCCATTAGACTACAAATTTCTCCACCTCTGAAATTTGTGTGTTGGTTCCAGGGAAGTACCTTGATATTTTGGCATTGTATACTGAGCGCAAACCATTGCTTAATTGAGCTATCCCCTCTTTATTCTTCCTGCTGCAGTCTTAACTGAAACTTGTCAGTCACCTGACAGCATCTTAATTCAGCTTCTTAATCAACTCATGTCTCAGCCTCACAACTTGCCCTATACTTCATTCTCCACACAAATTAGTATTTCACAACAAAGTTAACATTAATGCCAAGCTTCTACAAAACCACCTAGTACACCCATTGTTAACTCCTTCACATATACCTTTGTTTTTAAGGATTTTAAATTTCTTGTTCCCCAATACACTACATCACAGTAGCTTTGATATCCTCTAGCTATGCCTAGCATGCCAGTCCTGACTTTAAGAAATAAATGACCTTTTCAAGTTCCCTTAAAGTTCCCTCTTAAAGAAAGTTTAGTGTATTTGGCTTCTGATGAATCTGCCTATGTAACAGGTAACCCTGTCATCACTAGACAACCCTGTCATCACTGATTTCAGGATCTCCTTGGTGGGAAGGAAGACAGGCCCTTCCTATCCACAGTGAACTTAGCTTTGAAGAAAACTCATTGATCATCTCTTTCCTATTAATGACATCTTAATGAAAACAACCCCTTTTTAATAATCACACTGTTCGTGAGAGTCTGATTCTTTAAATCTTTTTCTAATCTCTTCTGAAATCATTGGAATTGAAATAAAAAATACTAAACTCATTGCAAAAGAATAGTTTTAAAAATAAACTTCAATTTGTAAGCATCTAAAAAGAAAGAAAGGTTAGATACACTTACTGCAGTGAAATCCATCTTCAATTCAATCACTTTAGTTAAATCAGGAAGTGCTGCTTTTGATTTGCCCATAGCTAAAAAGACAGTAGCTCTCCGATAATAAGCAATATAGTTATCAGGGTCACCATCTGAAAATTAAAATAATGAGTTCTCAGTAATCTATTCAAAAAAACCAAATCACCTGAAGAGTATTAGAGTTTGCAATTCTATTAAGAAAGGCATTAAGAAAAGTATTTCCTCATCAAAAATGAATCATGGTGCCTAGCAAGATCACTGCAAAAAAAATCTAGAGTAGGGATTGGCAAACTATAGCACTTGAGCCAAATCCAACCCAAAGACTTCAGTTAAGGATCTTTTTTTACATTTTTAAAGAGTTGCCAAAAAATAAAATAAGAAAAATATGAGATTGTATGGCTGCAAAGCCTACAATATTTATCCAGTACTTTAGAAAAAAATTTTGTGAGGGCCGAGCCTGTGGCACACTCGGGAGAGTGCGGCGCTGGGAGCGCAGCAGCGCTCCCACCGCGGGTTCGGATCCTATATAGGGATGACTGGTGCGCTCACAGCGCTCACTGGCTGAGCACGGTGCAGCCAGTCTCAAAAAGAAAAAAAAAAAAAAAAAAAAAAAAATTTTGTGAAGCCCTGGTCTAGACTATTATATATTCAACTCATAATTCTTATAAGTATGCAATTTTGTCTTTGCTGAGATTTTCTAAGTGAAATACTGGTTAAGAAAGTGGACCATGCATTTATTTACAGGATTTTAGAAAATTATAGACTTCCAACTAAACAGAAAAATTGAATGTGCAATCTCTGCTCCCTCACACACTCCAACTAAAATGGAAGGAAATAAATAGTGGTACAAACCACAGGGGCAAAGGAGGAGAACGGAAATGACAGTGAAACTAGAAACAGAGACTAGAGAAGTTAACATTTGAAAGAAGAAAAGCAGATAGACGGATGAGTTAGGTTTTTGAGCTAATTCCACTTGGCTCGGCACCTGAAGGAGTGAATTTGATGTGAAGCAAATCTCATGCTGCAGAACAATCCTTCTAGAAGGCTGTTCGGAAATATATACATATCAAGAATCTTAAAGCTGATCTTGACCAAAGCCAGCCATCCATCATAAAAGATCTACAATTAGAACTCTCTAAAAGTTCTACTCATGAAAGTCTTACCATTTGGAAAATATTACAATAGGAAATACATGACAGGATAGTACATAATCATTCAAAATTATGGTTTTGAACAGTTGTTAATGGCACTGAAAACCACCTGAAGTACTGCCAGGGGAAGGTGGAGCAGAACAAGAGAATAGGCTATACAATCAAATATGGAAGAAGATGTACAAATGGCCAATAAGCACATGAAAAGATGCTCACCTTCACTAATCAATATGCAAATGCAAATCAAAACCACACTGAGATACCACTTCACACCCATTAGGATGACTATTATCACTCACACACAAAAAGAAAATAACGAGTGTTGGTAAAGAGAGAAATTGTAGCCCTTGTGCACTGCTGGTGGGAATGTAAGATGGTATAGCCACTGTGGAAAACAATAAGGTGACTTCTCAAAAAATTAAACATAGAATTGCAATGATTCAGCAATTATACCACGTATGTACCCAAAAGAATTGAAAAAAGGGTTCAAACATATATTTATTTGTACACCCATGTTCATAGCAGTATTATTCACAATAGCCCAAAGGTGGAAATAGCCCACATGTCCATTAATGGATGAATGGATAAATGAAGTGTGGTATATAATACAATGGAATATTATTCAGCCTTAGAAAGGAATGAAATTGTGATGCAGAAGAATGCTGAAAATACTATGCTAAGTCAAATAAGCCTAGACACAAAAGAACAAATATTTTATGATTCCACTTATAGGAAACACCTACAATAGTCAAATTCATAGAGACAAAAAGTAGAATGGTAGTTGTCAGGTGGTAGAAATGGTTAACTATTGTTTAAAGGGACAGAGTTTCAGCTTGGGATGATGAAAAAGTTCTGGAGACAAATGGTTGCACAACATTGTGAAAGCACTTAATGCCACTGAACTGTGCAATTAAAAATGGTTAAAATGGTAACTTTTGTTAGGTACATTTTCCACAGTAAAAAAAAGTAAAAGAAAGAAAATGAGGCGGCCAGAAAAAAAAAAAAGTCTTTTCTGAAAAAAAAATTGGGCATTTTAACAATAAAAAAACCAAACTTTTTTTTCTTAAATCTAAAAGAGTAAAGTAAAAAGTAAAATGAAGTAAACTAAAGTGAATTGAAGTAAAGTAAGTTAAGTAAGTACATTAGCACATATGTAAGTAAATAAATACATACATACAAAAAAACCATATTATCCCAGCTAAGTGTCACTGAAATTTCTTTCCCAATCAACAGCAAAGTCAGTAGCCTGTACATAGGGTATTCCTTACAAAACATTGTAATTTGTTTGAGGAAAGAGTAAGAAACAGAGTAACTATAGTAAGAGCATGTTTGATATAGAATATCTTTAGGTTTGGTTTCTGTTTTATTTTGAATCTGCAATAAATTAAAATTTTATGGGTCCGGTCAGCACAATTGACCATAGAGTGATTTGACAGCTAAAGATTACTAGAACTTAAGCACTACACCTAAGAGCAGAAGGCAATTCACTGCATGTCAACAGTAGTTATCTGAGCAAAGAAATTGGGTTTCCTTCTTTGTACTGTCCATATATTCCAAGATGTTTCACAGTAAACATGGGTTACTTTTATATTCATTAATTTAAAGAAGCGTAAGTTCTTGTTGGGAAAATAGAATAATTTAATCAGGCTCCCCTCACCCCAGGGCCAGTTGGGGGTGGTTCAGTAAACAAATTGTGTGTGGGTGGGTGGAGTTAGTGCACATGCAGGTTGCTGCCACCTTTGCTGGCGACAGCCTCAGGTGGACGCCGCTTTGCACAGCCATGCTTTTCAACCTACAGCTTCCAGGACCTGTTTGGCAGTTACCTAGCTCATAGACCTGCATGTAAGGGGTCTGGTGACCCAGCCTGGTGTGTGTGGGGTCTGGTGACCCAGTCTGTGAATGGGCTTGAGGGGTCTGTGAGTTCCAGACCCAGCCCTAGCTCGGCAACTGGCCCAGTTGGTACAGGATTACTGGCAGGTAAAAGAGCCCAACAACTAGTGTGGTCCTGTAGCTAGACAACTGGCCTCACGAACAGGATTAAGAGCTTTACAATTGGCGTAGTCGGCAGGATTCCAACATTAATTGTGTGGCAAGACAGTTCTCTATGGCATATTTACATTAACCAAAGAATAATAAGTACTGGAAATAACATGATTTAAGGCCTAGAGTTGATTTACACACACATGTGCACACACACATGCACACACATCCATCATCTTTATATGTCCAAATCCTGCTCAATCTTTGAGGCACAGCTCAAATGACATTTGATTACACATGTGAAAATAAACATTCCATTCTCTCCATTTCTATAACACTGTAATATCTACCTCTTATTGTACCTAACACTTAATCACCACTTACTGATATCAATTATTTAAATACACATCTCAGTCCAGAGAAAATAAATTCCTTGAGTGTTGGATTGATGTATGATTTTATTTGTGAATCTCCATAGCCCCTGGCCCACAGTAGATACTCAAATGAAAGGTAATGGAAACAAACTCCTAATTAACTGCAACAAACAACAACACTACAAAGTAAACCTCAGCCAACACTGAGACCTGCCTTGGACAAACAAGGGGTCTTAAGACAGTCAGCACAGAAAAGGCTCTTAAACAAAGGCACCTCACCAGGATATTCAGATCATTATCCCAAAAGGTACCTTGGCTAGAGAATGGCCATCTTTGGGGTAACAAAGACCAAGCAGGAAATTTCAGTTAGCCATTAACTTGGTAACTGATAATCATCAATTCCTTGAGGTTAGCGGAAGAAATGAGAAGTTGACCCTAAGGTTGAAATTGCCCACAGATGAAATCATGACCCTAAAGGATCCTTCTCAAACATTTACTTGATGTCACATGCCTAAAATAAGAAATTGAAACTAAGTTGTCTTATTTTCCTTATCTCCCAAATCAACCACAAACAGGAAATCAAAGAGAAAGGCAAGGCGCCCTAGCTGATTATTAACTCACCTTCTTGCTTAAAGGAGAACTGCATCCACATTAGTTAGAGGTACGAGTCAGGTATTTTATGTTCCAGAGATGCTTGACTAAGGATATTGTCTTTGAGCTCTCCCTAAAAGATAAGGACTCTGACCCCTAAAATAACATCAAGGGTTTGAAGCTGACCAGTCCACCAACTGCAGACTCCATGATGCCAAAGCACCCAGTCCATCATGGGACCCAAACATCTGACTCAGACCCTCTGCTAATCCTACGACCAGCCTCCTCCTTACCTTCCTGCCTCTTCCCCTTTATAAATCCCAGAATAGGCATCAGAATGCATCAGAAGGCAGGATGATTTCAGCCTGGTCATCCCCCAGATGCCGATTATCTGAATAAACTTTCCAATCCTTGCACCAACTTTTGGACTTTCAAGTCATTTGTTTAGTGGAGAGGGCAAGCCGAGCCTGGCTTCCAGTAACAATCCCACATAAAATCAGCAATAACATTTTCAAAAACATGTGTGGCTTATTTTTAACTCTGTATAAGGTTTTTTCAAGTAAAGAAGAATGCTATTGCTAGCTTTGGGCATTTTATGAAGAAGGCACTTCGGTAAAAATTGCATTGGACTTCTATTTGTAAAAAAACTTGACTATTCCAATCCATGTAGAAAAACCTCCAAAGAGGATTATATATGGCATAGTTTTTAATTAAATATCTGGTTATACATACATAAAAATTTCTATATACAATATTTATGGGACATTCACTTTCACCAATTTTACTATTCAGTTTTTAAGTGTTCTTAAGATATGAGATGGGACTGGAACACCAATTTATAACACTGAACAAATACAATAAGGAATCTGTGATACTGTGAAATATGTATATATCTGGTCTTCCTTCAGTTTCCTGACATCTAAAACCCTGGTAATCTCAGGAGTGATAAGGGTGTCTCCTGCATTCTAACTAGATAGCTGGTGAGTGAGGGCCCCTAAATAGCTTCAGAATGGGGGC